TAAAACAATATATTTTTACATATATTAAATGCTTCAGGTTGAAAAACAAAGAACAAAAGTAGCAGATACAAAACCGTTAGACTATATCTTTACAAATGCTGGTAGGACTATTTCAGATGAAGAAATTTCATCCCGAGCATACAGGTTTGACTATCCAATTCGTTGGCTTCAAAGTCCTTCAGATGCAAAGGCAATAGGATTTAGAAGAGTTTTGTTTTCAAATAGAACTAACGCATTTATGTTCGCAGTATATTTTCATGGGCAGTATGAAGGTCCTGATGGTCTAATAGACAAATTTGACGAAATGAGAATCTTTACAGTTCGTTCAGACGAAAGTCTTGAGAAAACTCTAGATGACTTTCAAACTCAAATGAACAAATATTATTGGGAATTTCAAGAAAAATACGACTCTTTACTAAATGGAACATACTATCTGAAACTAGAATATGACAAGATGAACTCCACCGTTTCATTTCAAAAGATTGAAATTAACCCTCCAAGAGATACAGAGTTTTTATTTTGGGAAGTAGACAAACGTTCTTGGCACAATTTCTTCGGTTACTAAACCAGAACGAACCATTACCACCAGATGGTCCATTTAAATTTATACTTCCACCAGCAGATTTGATGGTTTATAGAAACGTGTTTGACCCTCAAAATGTTATGTGTCATGCAAGTTTCAGTTCAAGCAACAATAGTTTTCTATGTATTGGTAAGGACCTTTATGACTTTGCTTCTAAATTCTACGAATCACCTAGTAACAGTTTCTCTGACTTTCAAGTTTGGTTCACAACAAATGGTGTGCAACATATTATTCCATTGTACTATGACTTTTATCTCGAATTGTCTTTCATATATAACTACGGAAAAGTGCTGAAAAAGTATTGAATGTGAAGATATTAGAAAATAACATTTTTTCTAACATCGTAGAAAACTCATGAAAACAATTTATTTTTGACACTTTCACAAAAAACATAAAAAAGTGAGTTAAAATGAGATGTTTACTGAACTGGTTGGATGTCGCCTTCTGTAGTTATAAAGAATGGTTGACCAGAGAAGTGGAACAGTGCTCTGAGAATTTGTATAATTCGTGGAATTGGACTCTCTCTGTTTGGAAGTATAGGGTGTCCAAAGGTGTGTTTAGCACAAACCTGAATACTGCGAATAGAAATAAACAAGTTACATATATATAAAGTTTATTTAAATATAATCACCATTGGATTCAATCACGCGTTCGCAGCGATCGATCCAGGCTTGAAAGACACGCTTTAAATCATCATGAGAAAATTGCTCAAATTGCTCTCTTACAAAATTTTCAAGATCATCTGGACTCGCGAATTCGCGTCCTTCAGCTCTCTTTTTTAGCGTGCCGAATAAATAAAAGTCAGAGGGTGCAATATCAGGTGAATAAATTGGGTTTGGAATAACTTTGACATTGTTTTCCACCAAGTAATTCATTACCTTATGACTTTTGTGAACTCTTGAATTATCAAAATGAATTGCAAACTTTTGTTTTTGTTGTTTGGATTTCTCAAACTCATCAGAATTGATAATTTGAGTAAGAACATTGTCAATTAGATACTGAGCATTCATCGTATTAGGTTTTTGAAGAATATCAATTGCGATGATGCCATTCACGCCCCAAAAAACCGACAACATCATCATTGGTGTGTCAATTTTTTTCTTCGGGAATGTTTGCGGATTTTCATCCTTCGGGATCCACATGATTTTGGCTTCTGTTGCATATTGAAACCAAGACTCGTCCCCTGTTACTAAAAAGCGAAACTTCTTGGATTGATACGCACCCAATATAGAGAGGAGCTCTTTCGAAGATTGGACTCTAGATTTTTTTTGAACTGAATTAAGGTTGTGCGGAACCCAACGTGTATACGCTAGTTTGTAGTTCAAATAATTGTGCAGATAATAACTGACTGTTGTACGTGGTATCTTTGTCATCTCCTCTATCCTTCTGAGTGATGCTCTTGGGTCTTCATCTAGCGCTTGAAGAATTGCTTTGATTTTTCTTTGATCCGGCGATTTTTTGTCAATTTTTATGATGGGCGCCTTTTTGTTCATGAAGTGATACATCCTAACATGATACGTTACAGTGGAATAGCTAGGAGCATCCATACCGAAGCATTTTACCAATGTCTCGTAGATTTTTTTACAGTCTTTGCATTTTTTTGCAAGAGCGAGGATGTTTTCTTTATGATTCATTAAAAAAATGAAAAAAATCCCGCCAAAATTTCCCGCGAAACCGCCTCTTGTCTCAAAATTCATTTTATATCCCGGCATGGCGCCAAAATACAACATACTCATCATATACATATATTCATATTTTTTATTATATATTTATAATCAGCATATATCTCCTTTAATAGTCTCATATAGAGCGCTGTGCTAAACGCACCTTTGGACACCCTATAGTATCCAAGGACGCTTGGCAAAGAACTTGAGAAGAGCTTCTTTCTTCATCTCCTTTATGTCGTCTACAGGAGTGTTTTCTGGTATTTGTAGGACAATTCCGGTTTCAATTTCGATTTTCAGCGCACCTCTTCCTGTTATCCAACCGTTAACAAGCTTGCCTTTTACATTCTGCCTGAGGAAGTCTTTAACAAGCTCGTTAATTTCAATTAGGTAAATTGCCTCGTCGGTAGGTTCGACCTCGACCATTGCTACTGTCAGTAAAAGTACTGCTACTGTCAGTAAAAGTACTGCTACTGTCAGTAAAAGTACTGCTACTGTCAGTAAAAGTACTGCTACTGTCAGTAAAAGTACTGCTACTGTCAGTAAAAGTACTGCTACTGTCAGTAAAAGTACTGCTAGTAGCAGAGATTTTTATCGTTGTGGTCCGACGGTTAAGCCACAAACGGATGACTGACGTCCCACCAACCGAGTCCATTCCCAAACCAGAGAACCTAAAGAACCACAACAGTCTCCTCAGCAACCTCAGTTTCCAGCAAGTACCTCCGAATTACTACCAATTTCCACCTCAAGGTTACTACCCACCACATGGCTTCCCGAACTACCCTCCTCAGCCTATGCCTTACTTCCCCAACCCTTGGTTGTTCCAGCAAGCTCCACCCCAGCAATTCCAATTCCAATCTCAATCGAAGAGAGACCAAGACTTCGAAGAAGGTCTGAACCGCTTACGCAAAGAGTATGCTACAGCTCCAATTGAGAGAAAGTTGTTCCCGGACCAAAAAATAATGTTTAGGGTAGAAGGTTAGATCTAACCCGATATCTACCCTCATTTCTACCCTCTTGAATTTTCATGAATTTCCTTAAGATAGAAAAAATAAAACTAACTTTATTTTTATTTATTTTTTTTATTTTGTATAAAAGATATGATTTCAACAATCGGCACAACAACAATTCAAACAACAACAGCACCAAACTCGTTAGTCATGAATCCAACATCTATGTTAGTAGAGATGAAAAACTTCATTCCTTCTTCATATAGTTTTGGAACAGAAATACAAAAAATTAAGCAGGAACTTTTAACAAGTAATTTAGACTGTACCGCACAGGATGAAGAAAATGAAGAATATCTTTATGACATGCAGGACATTATTGACCATTTACCCAAATTGCCTGAAATCCAGCAACAAAAGCTCACTATTCCTGAATTCGATGAAATAGAAGTGAAACCAACTGACTCAGTAGAAATAAAGAAGTTCATACGTAAAGTAAACTATGAGTTTCTAGGATATCATTGCAACCATAAAGTTATGGACAAAGATTGCGACATGGTATATAAGAACATCTCTGACATATATAAATCTGGGGAGTTTAAGACATACGACAACTTTGTTTCATTAGTTGCAAAATGTGTATGGCAGAGAAGAGATAAAGATAGAAGAGGTAAGGTATGGCATGAACAGATAAAACCAACTGCTTCAGATTTAAAGAAAACCATTGACGCCTTAGTTGTTCTAGCAGGTCAAATTTCAATGTATAACGCAAAAATGAATCCGCAATGTTCAAAATGTAAAGCAGCAATTAGGAAATATAACTATTCAGTAAAAGAGATAGAACGTATGAGAAACGACTATGCAGACTTAAAGAAAGAAGCAGAAAAACCAGCAGAAAATAAAATGGACATGTTAGCATTTCTGAACAAAAACTATCCAACTGCTGACGATTTCCTTTTATCTGATGTCAAGAAGAAGTATAAAGAAACTTTCGGCATTGTTAAAATTTTTGATATCCTCAGCGAAGAAATAGAAGCTACAAAACTGTTTAGAATCTCACGAATTCATAACGTTTACCATGTAAAACGTTTATAAATAATGAGGGTAGAAATGAGGTTAGATATCGGGTTAGATCTAACCATCTACCCTAAAATATATTTTTGCTGAATTCAGCACAAAATTCTGAGTAAAATAATTTTTAGGGCACGTGTCAAACCGTTGAGTTTTCACAAAATTTAAAAAATAACGTTTACCATGTAAAACGTTTATAAAATAACTGGGGTAGAAATGAGGTTAGATATCGGGTTAGATCTAACCATCTACCCTAAAATATATTTTTGCTGAATTCAGCACAAAAATAATGAATTTCATTAGTTAGAAAAATAACGCTAATTTTTTTCTAAGAAAAATTTTTATTTTGTATGTAAAGACAGTAATGTCAACATCAGAGAACACAACAACAGTTATAGTCCATGAAGCTATAAATGAAGAATACGAGTACATACAGTATAACAAACAATTGAGACTCATTCGTTCAGTCAAAGACGATATGTACCAAATGCAAAGTATAATGAATGCTCTTCGTTCTACAAAGCAAGCATATCATTGGTTTGAAAACCAACAGACAAAAGAACTTTTAGAAGAATTTCCTCATATGATTGCTTCCCTCGGAAAACCGGGGAAGAGATTCCGTACGAAAATCGCAAGAATTTGGCTCCTGGTTTGAAAGGTTATTATATTCATAGACTTTTAGTAAACGCTGTAGCAATGTGGGCTTCACCTCGTTATGCTTGTTATATTTTCATGATGTTAGATGAACTATATAAAGCAGAACGTGGAGAGATGGAAAACAAGCTTGAAGCAAAAGACAAAAGCATTCAGAAAAGAATACCACGTTCGGTACCAAAAGGAAAGGAAAAGAACTATAAGTATATGATTTATACTGAAGAGTTGGAGAAAGAAGAAAACAGAGATATGGTTATGTTGCATTTAGTCAGAAGAAACAACAAAAGCTTTTACGACCTTGCTAAAATTTACAAATCTGACAGAAATTGGTTCTATCGCGAAAACTTACCGATTTCAATGACCCCAAATGAAGATGTGAAACAAATAGTTCAAGATACGTTACCTCAAACACACTATGATATTAAAGGTTGTACAATTTTTACCTTCAAAGAAGATTTGTCATTGTTAAAGGAAAAAATAACAGAGTATTTTGACAACTTCAAACAAGTAGAGTAAATGAACTCTTTATTTTTCAAGCTTGACTTTTTACAATTTGAACTTTGTTCGCGTAGATATGAATTCTGAAAGAAGTATGAGGGTCTTGTATGACTTTGTACTTCTCCCATAGTTCATGTCTGTCAAACTTACCTGCCATGGACTCTTTCATAAGTTCCATGAAATCGTCTTCGGACAATCCGGGGAAAAGTATTATGTCAGTAAGTATTCTTTTAATATCCTTACTTAAACTCTTTGCTGTCTGTACACAAATGACAACTGAGATGTTAAAGTGTCTGAGCTTCTTAAGAATTCGACACATATCTTGTTCTCTGTTCTTTAACAAAGGATGAGAGGCGAAATCATCTAAGATAAGAAGACATCTATGAGGGTAAGTCTTCCAATCGTAAGATTGCAATTTCTTCGAAATGTATTCTATCTCTTTCTGTTTGTTTCTGAAGTGGTGTTTGTCTAATATTCTCTGCATTTCCTCATTAGGTTCTTTAAACTTAGAATTTATATACTCATTTATAGCATTATACTTCAAAACTCTTCTTTGGTACTTCTTTATCCAATCTAACAACTCAGTATCCTTTATACATACTAACTTAGACTTCTTTATAATATCTTTGAACGAATTGACGGTTTGGTCAAATTGACCAGAAGTCGAACAAATAACAACTAACTCATAGAATGGGTTCTTCTCATCTAGTTCTTGTTGTTGTGCAGCCATTTTAAGATAAGTGAAAGTCTTACCAGACCCAGGTGGTGCAATTAGACCTGTTATACCATTCTGAGCAAATAAGAACTTTTCATGTATAGGCTTTATCTGAGCATTTTCTAACTTCCTCTTGTTCTTGTTTAAAACATTCTCAAATTTCTTGTCAATGTCAGCAAACTTTTTTTCTAACATATTTTTAGAAAAATTAAAATTTTTATCTTTTAGAAAATGTCTAGCGATTTCGCTATCTATATTCGAGACAAACTTTTTGACAGCAAAACATCTGTCGACCATAAAATCTTACATAGTGTAAACAAGAAAGGTATGGCATTCCAAACGGGAACCGCGGTTGGTTACCATGGATTTCCGTCACCGGTCACATTTTAAAGATTTTTAAAGCCTTATAAAAATATGCTTTGTAAATCATTTTTTGTAAATCGGCAAAAATTTGGTAATTTTCTTCAACTAATAAATCTGCGAATAGCATTTATAATACAAGAACAATCTTTTAAAATGCGTTTGATTCATTTTTGTATAATTTCATATAGGCACATATATTCTTCCGGGACTTTCCGTGATTTTACCGTAAAATCATTAGTTTACACCAATTTTTCCGTATTTTGAATAGTTTACTGCACTTTTTCCGTAAAATTGAGTTACGGGAATCCGCAAAATTTCCGGACCTCATTTTTCATAGAATATAATAATAATATTTGATAAAAAGATATATTATTTATATTTTTGATTTTTGAATTACGGAAAAAGTGAATTGATAACTTGATTTTTTTATATGGTTAATTTTTCAAATGATATTATGAAGATCTAAAATATTAAAAGTAAAAAATTGAATTACGGAAAAAGTGAGGTCAAAAGTGAAATAAATTTGCAGAACAATTTTCATTGAAATAAGCTTTATTTTTCATTATTAATAACAATGCAAAAAAATATTTATCACGGGTTCAAAATTTAAAATTAAATATTTTAATAATTTACATCTTATTCTTTATTTTATATTTAACCCGTGAAAATATCATTTAAAAATTGAATATATTCAAAAAGCTTTATTTTTATTATGACTGCATGGGATCCTCATGTATATGATGAGTGGATTCCATTTAAGAAGACGAAATATCCACCAACTCCTGAAACATTGGAAACAAAGTGTGGAAAAAATGTTTCACTACGATCGGCTATTATGAGAATGAGCCTAATCAATCAGACAAAGGAAGGCTCTTTACATACTGTGCCGAATGTAGTGAAACATTAGTTCAAGGGCAGTTCGTGCGATGCATTAAAAAAGCAGGAAAAATGATTTTAAAGATCATAAGTGCAAATTTTTACTCCCAATGCCCAACTACGTTCCTGCTGAGCACCAAGTTGAGAATACTCAGCAAGCAGTTGGCTCTGGTAATGATCCTTCGTTAGAAGAGATCATTGCCAGGCTTATTGCGAGCCTAGATATAAGCCTTTATGCCACAATGAAGCCAGCATTTAAAAGCTTCCTAGAGAGCTTCGCCAAATGGCTTAAAAATAAAGTCAATCGCGAACAGGGCATCAACTTTACAATCCCAGACATTGAGTTCACACGGCGCGGTGTCAGAGAGGCATTGATTACTTTAGGCAAAACAGACTCCTCTCGGGGCCTAAAGTTCTGCGAGGAATTCCGCATCTTCTCAATTTCCCTGGACTGCGGAACACACGGCAGCCGTCATGGTCTATTCTCTTGTGTGTGCAATCCAGGCAAAACAGATCGCCACCAATTCTTCGACACAACAATTTCGACTAATTGGACATACGAGGACTACCATACGTGGTTTGATTCTCTTAAGGTTAATAAAAACCACGTAGCTGGAGTAGTCGGAGATGGTTTGCCAGCCCAGGTTAAAGGACTCTGCCACTGGAGGCCAGAAGGAGCCCTTTTCCCTGGCTTACAAACCGTGTACATTCGTTGCCTTAACCACGTCTTGAACAATGCTATTGTCCACGCACGTAAGCAATGTCCATTGTTGAATGAACTGATGAATAGAGTTCACCAGATTATCATTATCTTTAAGAATCACGATATGAGAGCGAGATACAAGATCAGGGTTCCATCAATCCCGGAAACTCGCTGGCTCTACATATATGATACTCTGTTTTTCATCTTTGATAATCTGGAAACAATTAATACTGCTTTAAGAAGTGGAGATCTTCCACTATCCCTTTCCAGAGCTACACGTGAACAGTTACAATGGACACGTGATGGAATTCCTCCACTCTTTAAAGATGCTTTAATGATATTCAAGCCATTAAAGCAACTTCAATTATGGCTGGAATCCAACAAGTCCATGGGTGCTTATGCATTCCTGATGATACAACAGTGCCAAGGGATGTTGGATGAAATGGCAGGAAGATTAACGCCAGATGGTGAAGAGATTCTCCGATCAATCACTACAATATTCAAAAATGATATGAAAGAATATGGTAGAATTGATTTGCTTCGGTTTGCTTTCGGCTTTACACCGTTAGCAAGGAAGATCATCAGAGACAAGAAGGGTTTTGGAGGAAAGACAAGCTATCCACCTATAATGCAGTTGAAAGATGTGCAAGTCCCAACGATTCCTTCCCTGAGGATCATCAATCGCGAGATCACATTTGAGAAACTCGGCGAAATCCTTGAAGAAGAACGAACAGAACGTGTCGACGAGGTAGCCGAGCATGATGAAGAGATCCGGCAAGCAGAAGAGGAACAAATGCTTAACGACGATCATGCAGCCGAAACAAATGCCGATGGTTCGAGGAATTCCTTGGTCTGGGATGTTGTAGATGAAGAGATAAAAGATCTATACACATTCATGATAACAATCCTCAGACAAAGAGCAATTGCCGAATCAACAGTTGATCCAACGATCAATAAAGACGATAGAGCCAAGGAATTGATTGATGCTTACGATTTCTTCATAGAGCAAGATGATTCCCATCTTATAAATGGTCATCATCTTGCTCAAAATGATGGCAAGTTTTGGTACATGAATGGCATAAAGCAACTAAAAGCAATAAGACCAATTGGAAAAAGGATGATGTCACTTTCGTGCAGTGAAGCAGATGTAGAACGTGTAATATCTGAATTGCGAAAGACAAGAAATTCAATGAACGAATCATGCAAAGAAGAATATGTAGCATGCCGCTTCTTCATCAAGTTGAATGATGATCAATTTGATATTTAATTTTGTTTTTTAATAAAATTTATTAAATAATTTGTTATAAAAAGTATTATTTTTATTCGTAAAGATATTAGACAGAAGGTGGCCAGCCTAATGTCTATCAATCTTTAATATTAGTAGTAATTTCCCGCATTTCTGAATGATGATTGATTAGCTTTGTTGTTATTGATGTAAAACTGGATAAGTATTAAATAATTATATTAATCTTGGCCAGGGGACTGCTGATGGCCAGTCAGCAGCGGCCACTATGAATCATTATAATTATTTAATACCTAAATTGAGGTAAAAAGCAATAAGACTTGCCGAGCCTCATGCCCCTACCTCATATAAATAGAATCACACTTTAGTGAATCAACATCTATAAGAATGAAGTGTTTTGAAGCTGAAATAATATTGAATAGAAATTAATTGTTTCTGAAATTTTGAATGAAATTATGGGAAATAAAAAAATTACTAAATATAGGGTGTCCAAAGGTGTGTTTAGCACAAACCTGAATACTGCGAATAGAAATAACCAAGTTACATATATATAAAGTTTATTTAAATATAATCACCATTGGATTCAATCACGCGTTCGCAGCGATCGATCCAGGCTTGAAAGACACGCTTTAAATCATCATGAGAAAATTGCTCAAATTGCTCTCTTACAAAATTTTCAAGATCATCTGGACTCGCGAATTCGCGTCCTTCAGCTCTCTTTTTTAGCGTGCCGAATAAATAAAAGTCAGAGGGTGCAATATCAGGTGAATAAATTGGGTTTGGAATAACTTTGACATTGTTTTCCACCAAGTAATTCATTACCTTATGACTTTTGTGAACTCTTGAATTATCAAAATGAATTGCAAACTTTTGTTTTTGTTGTTTGGATTTCTCAAACTCATCAGAATTGATAATTTGAGTAAGAACATTGTCAATTAGATACTGAGCATTCATCGTATTAGGTTTTTGAAGAATATCAATTGCGATGATGCCATTCACGCCCCAAAAAACCGACAACATCATCATTGGTGTGTCAATTTTTTTCTTCGGGAATGTTTGCGGATTTTCATCCTTCGGGATCCACATGATTTTGGCTTCTGTTGCATATTGAAACCAAGACTCGTCCCCTGTTACTAAAAAGCGAAACTTCTTGGATTGATACGCACCCAATATAGAGAGGAGCTCTTTCGAAGATTGGACTCTAGATTTTTTTTGAACTGAATTAAGGTTGTGCGGAACCCAACGTGTATACGCTAGTTTGTAGTTCAAATAATTGTGCAGATAATAACTGACTGTTGTACGTGGTATCTTTGTCATCTCCTCTATCCTTCTGAGTGATGCTCTTGGGTCTTCATCTAGCGCTTGAAGAATTGCTTTGATTTTTCTTTGATCCGGCGATTTTTTGTCAATTTTTATGATGGGCGCCTTTTTGTTCATGAAGTGATACATCCTAACATGATACGTTACAGTGGAATAGCTAGGAGCATCCATACCGAAGCATTTTACCAATGTCTCGTAGATTTTTTTACAGTCTTTGCATTTTTTTGCAAGAGCGAGGATGTTTTCTTTATGATTCATTAAAAAAATGAAAAAAATCCCGCCAAAATTTCCCGCGAAACCGCCTCTTGTCTCAAAATTCATTTTATATCCCGGCATGGCGCCAAAATACAACATACTCATCATATACATATATTCATATTTTTTATTATATATTTATAATCAGCATATATCTCCTTTAATAGTCTCATATAGAGCGCTGTGCTAAACGCACCTTTGGACACCCTATATTGTATTCATACAAATATATTATTTTAAAGGAAAAATAGATGCTGATAGAAACGATGAAAATTTTTGAAAACTTTACAATTAATTTATGTTCGTTAACCACAGAGCTTGCAATCCAAAGCTCACGTTAGACAACAAGAGTCATGAAGTCTCATACTAAGGGATATCCAACATATATTTTAATAATCTAATGTTTGTGACAAATATTCAACATAAAATTAAGTTTTCGTTTCGTTACAAGGCATTCATACTTTGGAGATATCATATTTAATGTACAGAAAAGTTAATATTAAACAATACATGCTAAAGAATTAATAAATAAGATAATAAAATAAATTTATACGTAATTACTTTCATTTAATATGCTTTATGCTGTATAATATTGATTAAGAGGCATTAAAAGGTTCCATAGTCTGCTTTTATAGGCAAGATTTTTGATAAAAATTTTAAATTTTGAAAAATGATGAGAAAAGGAAAAAAAAGGTAAATGAGAGCAAGAGGAGGGAAAAAAAGAAAAAGAAAAGAAAGGGAAGGAAAAATAAAAGAAAGAAGGACATATAAAAATTTAGATGCGTATTCTTAATGCCGAGGCGGCTTGCCGCCGAGGCGCGATTTTTTTAGGCCTCTACGGTAACCCGGCAATGTTTTTTTAAATCTTGTACAGCCCTAAAGAAAGGTGAATTTGTTCTAAAGTTCTGTTTCTGGGAATATGACAAGAACCATAAAACATTACAAAAAGCAGTCTTAAAATTTGTCAATGACAGACTTGTTGACAGAGATGACGCCGATTGGAAAGATGAAGTCCAACAAAAATTCTTAGAATGCAAAGAAGACACATGCGCTGTTCTTGAAGATGAAATAGAAAACAGAATAGATGAGCTATTAAAGGACAAAGAACTTTTACATAGATATGGTTCTGAGAAATTTGACGTCTCACCACCAGAAAAGAAGAAGAGAGAAAAGAAAGAAAAGAAAGTAGAAGAAGAGAAGAAAGAACCTGAACCAGTTCCAGAGAAAAAGAAATTTGACATGTAAAAATAAAATTTTATTTTTAGAACATTTCTGGGTCAATGTCAATGTTCTCTTCCTCTTTAGGAGTAAACACTGGCTTAGACTCTAATAGCTTTTTACCCAATTTACCTTGAACTTCTACAACTTTAGACTCATAATATTCATAGTCGTCTGTCTTCTTTGGTTCATAAGGTATAACAAGTTTGTATGCTTTGCCTTCTTTAAGGTTTGAGAACCTTCTGTCAAAACTTTCTTTGACTGTTAACAAACCTTCTATGTCTAAGTCTTCAAATTTCGCACCATTTTTAGTCACAATAGCAAACTTAACTGGTTCGATGTTCCAAACTTTGCTGAATGAAGACTTTTCAAAATGGTAGAAGTAAACATTCAAATATGTGAATGGGTCTAGTTCTTCTTTAAGTCCTGACATGTACTTATTTACTGAAATATATTTCGTCATCTTTTCTATCGGATAAAAAATATTTTTTTTTAAATTTACTCAGAAAAAATTTTCTTTGTATATACACCATTCTGAACATCTAAAAGACTTTTGACATTTGCCAAGAATGTACGTTTAGAAGCTGCCATATAACCATATTCTTGACAATATTGTTTATACGAATCGTACAATGACCTTTCATCTAATGACACAAAGTCAGTTTCATCTACGAATAGTTCATAAACACTCTTGTTTGCTTCTAACAATGTTTGTCTCTCTTCGGTATGTGGAATTTGTCTTGGATTGAACTTAGAAATATCTAATGTCATGAAATATGAGAACAAGTGGTTGTAAAAGTCAGATGTCAAAGTTTCTGCTAAGTCGTCAAAATATTCTGTATCTTGCATATGAGAATCTGACGTTCTGACAACTACATATCTTCTGTCAGAACTTTCTAACTTCATCGGAACAGCATTGTTTGAAACCATAATGAAGTTTGCAACATTTTCACAAACTCTTTGGTCTTTATACTTTCTTTCAACAACTCCAACTTTGTCTGTTATAAGACTCTTCAAAGCATCTGAGTTCAAAACTTTTGTTGTATCTATACTTTGAAGTTCATTGCAAACTATCAGTTTCATATTCTCTATTGAGGAGTTAAACTTGCCACAGATGTTTTCTAAGTTTGTCATATTCGGATTCGAATAACCTTCTAACAGTTTGCACAAAATATCTGTAAATAAAGTATTCTTACCAGTTCCTTGTTTTCCAATTATAATGAGAGCAGTTTCATTTTTAGCACTTGGATGTTGTAAGATATTTGCAAACCAACATAAGATATACTCATAGACTCTTTCGTTTCCATTGCATATAATTTCTTTGACATGGTCTAACCAAGCTTCTATAATACTGTGTTTCCATTCTACTTGTTCGTATTTATATCCAGTGAAGATAGAATAGAAGTTTGGAGAAGGTGTATAGAACTTTATACCTAGAACTGAAAAATCTTCTAACTTTGACAATAAGATATCCCAAGCATCTAACATCTTCATTCCAACTTGTACAACTTTTATTTTCTTAAGTTTCTGTCTACATTCTTGTTCAGACACTATTGTTGCTCTTGGTTTGTTAAAGACAACATCCCATTCTTTCATGACATAACATTCTGGGCAGAGTCAACATAAATGACTAAACGTTTCAAATTCTCGACTGCTTTGTTATAGTCTCTAAATGGACACATATTTCTGAATGCTTGGAAGTCATAAAAATCTGAAATATCTATTCTGTACATTTTTATAAAAATAAAAAAATATTATTTTTTTATTCTTGACTTTGTTGTTCCATTTGTTGCATTTGTTGTTCTTGAGCTATTTGTTGTTGAAGTTGTTCTTGTAATACAATACTTTCACCAGTTGCATCTTCCAATTCGAAACTTTCTGCCGTCATTGACAAATACATAGGACATAAAAGTTTTACAGGAACAAAGTTTGCGTCAACTAATGTCAACGTTATACTTGCCAAAGTGTTTTGAGTTCACTAAGGTTGAAAATTCTGCATTCGAATGAACAATAGGCAAAACCAGCAGAGAAAGTATTGTTTATACGCATAAGTATCTTTTGGTCATAATAGTTTCTGTCGACATTCGAATAACACTTTGAACCTAAGTTTGAAACAATATATAAGATTGGTGTGCTTAATGTCAATGGAATAGACATTCCTTGTATGACACCTTTTCCTGTTATAGGAAACTGTTGGTAGTAAAAACCAGAAATAAGTTTTGTATTATAGC